TTTTCTATAATAGAATTTGCCATTGATTATTGTATGAGCTCGGACTCGGTCTTCAAATATAAAGATATTATATTCTTTGAATTAACATTTATAGTTTGAAATTAAGTGTGACCCACTGAATCTGAGTAACTTCAATTTTTTTTTTCAATATTGGACATTTGTATTTTTTATCTGAATTAATAATCCCTAAACACTCAAAAGCATGTTTCTTTTTCATTGTTTGTTCCATTTTTTTTCTTCCTATTATTCACTGTGTTTATTTTCTTATTCTTTCTGTCTATTTGTTGTCATGTCATTGTGTGTTTGGTTTTTATGCCTGTGATCCACTTTGCTGTCGACTACTCTGTATGACTATTTCTCATACACACTTACAGTGTGTGTAAAATGTTAAAATGTATGTGTGCAGCCATTGTTGGTAATTTTTAATGAATAAATATCTGAATATATTCTCAGCTATGTTCAGAGGTTTCCTCATGCAGCACAGTCATGTCTCTGGAGCTGCCATTTGAATCATTTTTGTGTTAGTAGCAGAGTTTTAGTGTCATGTTTTTTATAATACATTACATTACATTTACTCATTTACTTTTATCCTAAGACATTTACAAATGAGGGGACAATACTTGTAAGAAAATACCTTGGTTTGGGAAATGTGAAATATAAAAATACAGCAAAGTAATTTCCTTTGTATTTTTCTTAGACTTTCTTAGGTTTTAACAACCTGAGAGGAAGTTTACACATGGCTCTTTTTCAGGCAAAAAAAAAAAAGAAGTAAATTTAGAAAAAAGAATTTTCTTTTTTCCAACAGAAATGTTATCCGTCATGAGTGTGGAATGCAATGTGACCATCATGCAGAGAGAGAAAACTTTTGGACTTGTGTTCTAACCTCAGTATTTCTAAAATCCTGAACAAGATAAGATTCTTTATTGTCCCCAAAGGGAAATTTGTATTGCACTCTGTGTTGCTACCCCCAACACCACCGTCGCCAACAATGCAGACATACAGGGAGCACTTCAACAAAAAAACAGTTTATTTTAAATTACACAAGCTCTTTGATACTGACCTCATTTTAAACTACAGACACATTTCAGCTTGCACTCACAAAGTACGATGTTCCATAGCCAGCCCCAGAGTTTTGAAGTGGCAGTTGTGGGGAATCATGCAGAGACACTGTCATGAAGACTAATCTTATAATCTTCTTCTTGTAGGTTTATGTCTATGACCTTCCTCACACATGTAATTGTAAAGTTATCCAAAACAACACTGCATTGTGTGTCATCCGGCACAGTGCTGGGTTTGCCACATACATGCAGGCCTGTTCCTTCAACTGGTCCTCCCAGATGATATTTCAGTTTGACTCCGGCACATGAAACAGCACAACCAACCAACGCTGCAGCCCCATGCATTGTTTTTAACTCAGGGCAAATGTCTGTCTGAATGTGTCCAAACACTTGGATGTTCAGATGCACTGAGAGCAGAGGCAGTAAGGTGGATGGATTCTCTATCAAAAATGACAGGCAGCCCATTAAATCCAAGCCCCCATTCAGCAGTGTTAACAAAGCCAGCGGTCGAAGCAGGCTGGATAATTGAAACGCAAACAACTGATCAAAGTGAAGCTCCAGCTCGACAGTTTCATTGTTTATGTACGGGCCTTATGCGAGACCTGTTGACTTTTCCAATTGGAGCTGTAAACTTTTGTTTGTCCGTGCATTTCCAAGACTGATTGTCAGTCTGATCTGAACAATTACCAGCTAAATGTGTTTGCCAGCTCAGGCAGAGCCCCCTCCCTCTTTGCTGCCCTAAAAAGATCAAAAGGGAAGACCTCCCTCCCTCCCATAGCTCTCTTGAAACACCCCCACCACAACCCCCCAAATGTCCCCTCCACTCCCCATATCCCTCCTCCCAACCTCTTCATTTCCTTTTTAGCCATGACAGTTCAGCTGGAAAACCAACCATAAATGATTTTTTTCGACGGCCCAGTGTTAGAGACATGGCCTTTTAGAGCACACAGCTTTCAACGAGGGGACATGTCTTTAAGAAAGAAAAACGATCTGCATATTTCAATTATGTGCGGTTGTGCTCAGCTGATCAAAGAGCTGCAGGGATGCCACTCGTAACTGAAGGCTTCAGGACCCTCATGATGTGAATGAGCACAAATTGATGCTACTGATGCTAAACGGTTAAGCGCCTCATAAAATGTCATAAGGTCAATCAACTTTTGGTAGTCATTTGACCGTGACACAACCTTGGCAGTTTTAGTGGCTAAACAGGCCTCAGGGCTGTGCTGGGCCGCTCTCCACTTTCATTCTGCTGCACAATGTCTGCACGTAGTATTCAACCATGCATGTGTGTGGATCAAACAAAACCTTGTGTCATTGTCTGATGGCAATGATTCACTGGATTATCACACACTCTCGTGCAAAAAAAATGAAACAGGAATTTAGTGACAACAACCAGTGAGTATAAATAGAAAATCTTTGTTCATTTTAAGGTCCTCCTACTAGCTTCTTCTGGACCTTTTGACCATATCGCATGGTCTCCTTAGAGGATGAAGTAAACTCAGCTTTTTAGCGTTACTGTTGATTAACTATTGCTACTAAGCAAGACAATGAGTGCAGCTGAAAGCACTGGAAAAAGTTGTTTGTTTGTTGCGCTTAATGATAACACAATCCTTTAAACTGGGAGCTGATGGTTGCTTCTGATAATGAAATAAATAATTCATTCTATGAAGAAGACATATCCAATTCATGGAATGGTGTTTCATCCTAGATTATAACTAATGCTAATAAGTCTAGATAGTGTTGTGCATTTCATTCAATTTGTCAAAGAAAGGATGATTAGTTTAAAAAATAAATGCGATATTATTGTTTATGTTTATTTAGCAATCACCATTTCTCATACGTCCTAGAGCATCATGAGTTAGCTGGTCCAGACATGGACGTAAAAACAACAGGACAGACAGGACCGAATGATAGTCATGGTAGTCATTTTTTCAGGCTACACCACACAACTATGTTTCAGTTTTAAAACACATCTCTTTTGCTAAGTTTAGGCCTGGCGTTCACACTACTCCAGAGTTTTCAAGCGCCTGAATTTGAAACTTTTGGAAACTCTGCTGGGCCCGTTTTAGTTTGAAAACTCCGGGTTTGCGTTTTGTCCTTTGGAAACTATGATGTAGACGCACACGTTCGCCTCCTGATTTGATCTAATCGAGACTACTGCTGGTGAATACAACATGAATAATGAAGTACAAGTGTTACTGACCTCGTTGTCTTTGTAGCAGCTCTTGTTCAGTTAAATTCTGCTATAACTGTCTTAACTGCTCCTGGTTTGCAGCATTCTCTACAACCACTCAACTGCAGAGTAGACAATCTGCTTCATGTTTCTACCTGCACACATATGCTGAGTGTGATGTGAATGGTCATGTGATATGTGTTTTTCAGGTGTGTCAGTATGGACAGAGTTAATTTCTGATACAGAGCCAGATAGAGATTGCTTTTGTTTTAATGAAAATATAGTAGTGTGGGCATAGCCTTACGCGGCTTTCAGTCAGAACGTGGCAATGGCACCACTTTGCTCTGAAACACATTATTTCCAATAGGTGCGAGGTTGCGCGAGCGCAGTGGCTGGACCCCGTGATGAACACCCGCGCGGCCAATAGAAATGAGGCATCCAGCCGGGCAAGGAAATTAAATGGAAAGTAGACCTGAAATCGCTCACTGTGGTAACAGAGCTCCTTCCCCAGGCTGCTCTCTGTACCTGAGGGCACCGACAGCCTTTTCTTTACTGCTTCTTTTCTTTTTGTTATCAGTGGGTAGATTTGATGATCTTGAAGGATTCTTCTTTATCTTTATTACTAATGCATTGTTTATGTTGCTGCATTTTTTTAACTGTGTATCACCCAGTAAACAAGACTTACTTTTCACTTTCTGTGCACCTCTTTACCTAATCTTGCACTTATTGAAAAGATGTGGTACTAACTTACACCAAGCTCTCCTACTGCACTGAAGCTTAAGTGTTGTCCCTCATTTTCAAGTTGCTCTGGATAAAAGCATCTGCCAACTGAATAAATGTAAAATGAAAATGTAAGACCACAAGATTTTTTCTGCAGGAACTGTAACGTGGTTGAAAGCATTTATACACAGATCTGAATATCAATATCTCCAATAAAATGTTCAGAGCTACTTTTTCATTCTATTTTACATTACTTTCACAATGAAGCAGCAGAGAACCAGTGGGAACTGCATCAACAATCTGCTACACCAAATGTCTAAGGTATTCTGGATATGACAACCAAATTCCACTGTCAAATCATGAGTAATAAAACAGTGGTTTGTTTTGGTATAATAGACCCTCATTATTCCAGATAGTAAGGAAATATTATACAGTATAATATTTAACTCCAAGCTGGAAGATCTTCTCTGTTGGTTAATTGGAATTTTGTCCACAGATCTTAATTAAAAAAAATATGCTTCCAAGCTAGAAGAGCCTGCTGATGGTTTTTCTATAATTTGATTGTCAATCTGTTCGTTAAGTAATTACATGGCAAACGAATGGAGAGACCTCCAATTTTGTCAAGAATATGATTTGGGATGAAATACCACAGTTAATCAGGATTTTTAAGACATCTTTTAACTAATTAACCTTAAAGGTTTTAACAGTATCAGCAATCCAAAAAAATAATTTACTTCTTAAATTGTTGAATCATTTGCAAACAAAGATAAAGTTGGATATAATGAGGAGAACTCTGCCCAGGATAGAGGCCAAATAGTAAAACTTGTCTTGGTCTTTTTTCGTCTGTTTGAGGACTTTGGATGTTGTCTAGCTACATGATTTTTCGTTATAAATATTCCCAAATACTTAACAGAATCCTCAACAGGTATATTATCAATTACATTGTCGTTACAATCATGTAGAGGCAAATTTTATTTCAAATATTTTTGAGTAAAGTTAATCATCATACGTCGTCGCGCGCAGTGACGTATCGCTGTCGTCATCAGCCGTCAGCTGACAACAGGAATGGCTTCGTGTTTCCCCTGCGCTGCTGCTCTCTGAAACATGGTGCTCTCTTTACCAGGTTTAACTCCCGATTTCACTGAGGAGCACCTGCGGGACTTGAACACACTGAGCCCAGGGCACGGAGAGTGTGAGGAGGGAGCAGCGGCCACACCATGCTCCTCCTCCAGCTACCGGAGGATGTCCTCTATCACATCCTGTCTTATCTGGACTACAGGTCTCTGAGCCGTCTCTCTCAGGTCTGTAGAAGCCTGTGTCGCTTCGTGAACCGGGACGCTGTGTGGAGGAGGATCGCCAGAGAGTTTCTGAACACGGGGATCAGGCGGGACGGGACGGACATGTAAGATGGCAGACCTGAGAGCAGCTACGTGTGTTAGCTCAGCTTTAGCCTGTCAGCGTTAGCATGTCACTGTCACTGACCGGCTCTGTCTCCACCGGCTGCTGCACCTGTGGCTCGGTTACTGCTGGCTGACAACCGTGGCCCACAGTCTCTAGCAGCAGCATGGCTGGATTAACTCCTCAGGGACCCCGGGTTAAGGATGTGTTGTTTGGCCCCTGTGAGCCCTCACTGTACATGGCAGTATCATTATTTCCCTCCGGCACCCAGAAGAGCTGAAATAATTATTGTGTTAATTGGTTAGATAATTAAAAGAAAATTAATTGGCAGTTATGTTGATACGCATTAATAGTTTAAGTTTAAAATTCCAAAACAAATCTCTGGTCCCAGCTTCTCAACATTGTGCTGATAATAAAAATAATAGTTGGTTGTTCCTGTGATGGAATGATACGTCCTCACTTGAGGTTTTCTGTCTGTTCATTGCTGACACAGCAAAAGTAATTTAATAAAACTTTACAACTGTACATCAAAACAAGGATCACAATATAAACTACAACAGTTCAGGTCTTAAACCTAAATGTTGACACATCTAGAGTCCCTCTGTAAGAGGAGGGAGGATGGAGGACCCATCGTTGTTGAGAATGAACATCAGTGGAATACATTTCTAACAAATGTGTGATTAATCAGATTATGTAGATCCAAAATATGTAGTGTAAACCTGGGGCTTTTGGGGCCCTGGGGCTTTTGGGGCCCTGGGCAGGTCTCCAGGGTAGTCAGACTTATTAGGAAGAGAAAATAAAGGCAAACATTAAATAATTCACCATAAATCCTGATGAACATTGTAAACAGACACATTTCAGTTTGATTTTGGGTTTAAATCACCAAGATAAACAGCTGGTTTTGTTACCAACATGTGTGATGGTCTGACTGTCGGACCAGATGTCAGCAGGTAACTAGAGAGCATGAAGGTTTTAATTACTTCATTAGACAGCTGATAGAGGAGAGATGCTAGTAAATAAGGAGAGAGAGGAGACCTACATCAGGGGCCTGCAGCTGGATACAAAGTGGGGACATTAGAGTCATGGTACCTTAACCCCTGGACTACCACGGCACATTGTAATTATTATCTTGTCATTACCAGTAAAAATGATGGTGAAAACACTGAAAATAAGATCCGAGTTGTTATAAACTGGAATTAGCTTTAAGAGTGCTCAACAGCCACACTAGCAGCTTTAGCTTTAGGCCCCTGTTCCAGTTCAGCAGTCTCCTCACAGAAGCAGGTGACAGTGTAACAGCAGCTGTAGATCCTCACAGTGAGACGGCTTCAAGCTGCTTCCTCTGCCATCCACGTGCTCATCACATGCCAGTGACTACGCTGCTGTTCTGGGAGGGGCGTTGGCTGCTCCTGCACTAGGGCCCCGACACCTTGAACAAGCATGGCATCAGTATCTGAACATACACATGACCTGCCCCCCCCCCCCCGCCCCCCCCCCCCCCCTTCTGCCTTGTCTGTCTCATGTTATCATCTTTACATCATTTTGCATCGTGCGGTGCAGGAGAACAGTGTCTGTTTTCTCCTAAAGGAACAGGGGGAAAAACGATTTCCTGTCTCTATGACAAAGACACTGTCTGATGCACGGTCACTTTCAGTTTGAACCTGTTTCATGGGATGTGTCTGAATCTCTTGATCCAGCTGCTAATTTGTCCCTGTGCCACTGGTGTGTGGGTCAAAGGGGGCAGAGAGGTTACGGATTCACTCAATTAAAAAAATTGTTTATTGTCATTTACACACATATGCATACTTGTATGTAAGTATAGTATAAGTGAAATTTGATCTTATAATATTTTCATCCCACTATGTGCAGTAGGACGTGTTTGTGGTTATGGTGTGTCTTTGGTTCCACCTGCCAACAGATGATGTGCTATGACTTTGTTTATTTGTTTGTGTTGTTCACATTATGGAATAAAACAAATACTGAGAAAGAATTGTCTAAAAAAAAGTAGAACAGTTCCAGTTTGTCCTCTACCTGTGAACTCATTGGATGGTTTCAAAGGGTCAAATAAGCCTTTTCATTATAATCAGTCTATAAAATCAGCAGTGGTGGAAAGACTGATGCTCAGATGTCTCTGTCTCTGCTGCAGATATCCTCATATCCCGCTGAAGGAGAGAGTGAAGATAGCTCAGAACTGGAGGGATGGGGTCTGCAAAAGGGCGATTCTTCTCAAATGGAAAACGAAGTAAGTGTGTCACTGACTAATGCACTGCTTAAAGACTCAAACACTTTGACCTTTTTTACTCCTTTGGGGCCTCTGCTTCCAGTCTGTATGCTAAGCTAGGCTAACCACTAACATCCTGGCTCTTGTTCCACACACAGGCATGAGATTGATATCCAACTTCTTGTCTTCAATTTTGTAAATTTCATTTATGTCTTGTCTTCAGACTGTTGCCATGGTTGCAGCTGGATGGGGATGTACTGTTTCTGTCTCAGGCTGCTGATATTGGAGCGTACCATTTGCGCCAAGACTCAGGGAGACTCCAGCGTAACCCATTTGAAATCTACTCAGGCCATAACGGAGACGTGTGTCACTTTGTTCTGACGGACTCTCACCTGATCAGTGGTGGAAGGTACAGTAGCTCATGTTCTCTCTGTTCTCCTCCTGACTTCATCTGACACCACAACATGCTCTTAGTCATTTGTTTCTTTATATTAAGGAATGTTTTGTGACTTTGTCATTGATGCAACTTTAGCGGTTTAAAGATTTTACATTTGGTGTTTTAAACTGTACTAAGGTCCCTGTTCACATGGCACATGACAAGCAATGTGCAGCAACGGCAATTATTTTGTTAAAGTTAAAGTTCCTCTAGACTTCTTTTAAACTCAAACTCCTCTGCTATGATTCATAGTTGAACATGGTTTGCACACATAAAAACTGGGTCTGACGCTCATCTCCTCTTACTTCCTGATTGAGAAATGTGGATCAGGCCTTTAGCCCCGCCCATCACCTGCTGTCTCCAGGTGGACAGGTGAAAGAGCAGAGAGTATCAAGATGGTTAGAGGAGGAAACATCAGAGAGACTCAGCCTCATGTTTGAGCCTCAGTCAGACCCAGATTCAGAGGAGGAGTCTGAGACCAGAACCAGAGACTAGCTAGACGGATCAGAACAGTTACATCCCCTGCAAAGTGCAACGCAAGTGTCTTTGCTAGTTTCAGAGCAACGCAGTTGTCATTTTCCCTTGCAGCTCCCAAGTTGTTGAAATAGCAAATACACCTGCAACTAAGTTCTCCAAGATGCTGGAACAACCTATCTGTCAAGTCCCTGAAAACCTGTGTGCAGGTGTACTGAGGAGAACTGAGGCTGATTTAAAGGCAGAGGGAGCAAATACACAAAATTCACAGCAAATACTGATCTGATTTTTTTTCTCTTCGCTGCACTTTGGATGACGTTCACTGATAAATACAAACTTTTCATGGCATAATTGATGAAAGCTTCCTGACTTTACTTTTACTCCCTAAAACTTCTGCACAGTTCCGTACATGTACGGATATATTAACATCAGGCTCCTTTCTGTCTGTCAGCGATGGCAAGATCCTGGTCCACAGCAGGACCAGTGACGTGTCGGTGGAGTTATCAGGTCATAACCAGGAAGTCAACTGCCTGGACTCTAAAGATGGACTCATCATCAGCGGATCCAGGGACCGAACAACGCGGGTCAGAACACCTTTACCATTCACACATAGTAAAGTGATGCACAGCACCAGCGGTGTTCATCATCCGCACGTGAATTGGGACGTAAACCTCGTTTACAATCTTACATTTCACCTCAGACTCAGTTCATCATGAGCCTCACTCATGTCAGTGTGTCATGTATATATCATAGTTTGTCTGTGTATGCATGCATTATAAATTGTGCTTACTGGGGACTTTTATGTCTCTAGATTTGGACCTCGACTTCCAACTGCCCCAAAGACACAATCCCCATGTACGACAGAGTGTGGTCTGTTGCCATTAGTCCAGCGCTGAGGTAAGACTTTGCTCACAATCACTAACAAAGAGGTTGACAAATGTGGCGGTGATTGGTCGCACAGTTAAATAGGGTTTCCCTCGGTAAGAGTGCTAGTGGACGTGGTAAGCTCTTTAGAGGATCTCTCTAATCAGTCTTTGATGTTAATGACACAGACACTGACTGTAAGATATGACACCAGCTCATGGTCATTTTCTATCTCAACTTGACACAGACATTAGGTTTACATGTCCAGATGGTGATTATCAAACTAAGCGGAGATGATGATGTTGGACCTGTCCTTTGAATAGAAAGGTTTCTTGTGTAGCTGACCTCTGTGGCTGGGGTTAGGGCTAAGGTTAGGTTGAGGGGAAGGTAAAGCTGAACACTGACTGGTTGAGCTGTTTGTAAACAGACAGGTTTGTTTCCTTCTTTTCTAACATTGTGTCATGCTGCTCTGATCAGTTACCGCGAGGCAAAAGTGTGTGATCTGATCTATCAAACATGGAGTCTTAACGGATCTCTTCTTGAAATCAACTAGTAGTTTCTAAAAGTTTCTAGATGATGTTGTAAATAGCAGTTTGCTGTTTGATGTACAGTAGATCCGCCTCTCTTTTTCTTTCAAGGTTGTTATAGTTCATAATAATATCCCTTGCTGGTGGCAGGTGTCTTTATTCGTTTCGTTTATTTTGGGGCTATCTTGTTCAGATTTCCATCACTTGCATTACAAGCACACTCATATCCCTTAGTGTTTTTGCCTGGATCGCAACAGTGTGGCGAGCCTTAGAATCACATGTCACTGACTGACTGACTGAGCGATGAAGTGACACCATTGGTCAGCCAAATACCACATGACTGAATATTGAATTTACAGTTTCCCCATTGGCTGTTGCTCTGTCAAAATGATTTGGCACAAACAGTCTCTTTGGTAATCAAGGGGCGTTCACAGACAGTGTTTCCAACTGAGCGCCCCTGTCACTAGACCTTTCATACACCTTTAGCAGCTTTTTTTTTTTTTAAAAAAGCACCTAGTGTTAAATGTAGTGACTTATTGCACAAATGTTAGCTACTTTCCATAGCAGCGAGTCGCCAGTACTGCCCCGCAAATGGCCTGAAGTGACTGCTGGATAACATGTAGTCTTAATAGGCCACGTTCCACTGTTTCAAACTTGTTCTGTTGTCGTGACTAATTAGCATAGTATGTCATGTAGCGACATTTAGCTACTTTTTGCGCAGACTTCAGCTACTTTACATTGAAAGTAGTTGTTTACAGCAGCTCCAGCAGGTTTCAGCTACGTCCTTAATTTTGCACATTGACCATACATGGTCCAGACATATACTAAGTTTTGACTTAGTGTTTGAATTTTGATTTTTCTATTTTAGTTTTGTTGACTTTGTAACATAGTTTATATATATATAGAAAATAGTAAAGATTGGAGTATCCATGAAGGGACTGAAGTGGACTTGAGAGAGCGGAACCAGATTCTTTGTAGTGGTGGCTGAGAAGCGCCTTTGATTTCTCAGCCATGTTTACTTTCAGACACTTAAAAAGGCACACTCACACACCCTCGCTCACAGCATTGATGACATGCAGGCAGACAGATGCAGAGCACTGTAACAGTATCCTGACTTCAGCACCTGCTCGTCCAGCAGAGAGGCAGGTGATCGTCCATCTGGCTGCAGAGTGGAAACATCACAGGTCCAGGGGGGTTTCCCATCTCACTAAATAACTGCCTGCCCTGGATTCATTAAAACAAAGTACAGTAGTTAATGCTAGCTCCTTGGTTACTGCATAGCAGGACACTGCTTCTGTTACATTTATTCATCTTTTTTTAGTGCAGTTTGTGAGATTATCACCTGTTAGAGAGAGTGGTCTCAGCAGGGATTCTGTTGATATCTTTACCTGGCCTAACTAACCGGTGAGACTGGTTGCTCTTGTCATTATCTGCTTTATACTGCTACAGCTCTGATGTACCAATATCTTGTCAGAAAACTCTCTGAAACACAAAGAGCTTCTCATTGAGTGAACATGGTTTAAAATAGCTGTCAGGTGCTTGTTTTTGCAGCAAGTACCTTCGTTGTCCCCTGAATCCTAACAAACCTGCCCACAACAACAGTGCAAAGCTACATACACACTGTTTTAGCTTTAAAACCCATATCTCTTTTGCTTCATTTACACCTGGCGTCCGAACAACTCTAGATTTGAGCTCCTAAAACTGAGCTTTAGTTTGAAAACTCTGGGGTTGTGTTTTAGTGTGGACGGGGAAAAATGGACACCTTTGGAAACGAAGACACTGACGCCCAATTCTGATCCAGCCCCTACACACTCCCCCTGCCCACTCTCACTCCGTTTGCGCATTCGTGTGAAGGGTCCGCACATTGAGTGTCGTTCCAAACTAATAACCCTGAAGTGGGAGTGGGTTATAAAGCCTCCAACACTGAGTCTGCATCGATGCAGACTTACAAACCACACTCCCAGACGAGTGCAGCATCGCTTTGAGCGAGGGATGGATGAAATGCATATACCTGCTAAAGTGAGTTCCGTGTGTTTATTTCAAAAGGACAAGCACATAAATTACCTCAAACAGACATTTGACTATTTTCACGCACACATGATGAAATTAGACGTTACATTGTAATTTGCAATGAACATCACGCTGTGTACCCAAGAAAAAAAGTGTTTTTATTTGACTTGATATTTGAAAATTAAACTCAGGAAAAAATAAAGATAGAATTAGATTAAGACAGCAAACGAAAACATGTTCAGCAAAAATGAAATGCGGCCAAAGAAGCATGTGAGTGAATTTTTATTTATTCAATTAATAATTTTCCTTCCACAAGCTCACTGTGCCATGAATGTCATGAGGGCGATGTCATTGCCCACACACCTTCATCTTTGTCAGTGCTGTGTGTAAGATTATATTTTAGATAAATATTGATTTAATCACAAGATCTTTCTGAAATATTTTGGGTAACAATGAATTTCCTGTTTCCATCAGAGAAAAATGAGGCCGTCCCAAAGCTTGCCGTTGTATTTATACCCTCCTCCTTAATGAAGAGACCCTCCACAGCCACGACTGTGACTTCACACGGAGTTACACTCTGTCTCTGAGTGGGAGTGTGTAGCGACCAGATTGGAATTGGGCCCCACAGTCGCTCCCTGATTGGGTCTTATCAGCCTGGACTAGCAGTGGTGAATACAACATGATAATGAATTACAAGTGTTACTGACCTTGTTGCCTTTGCTAGCAGCTGTTGTTCACTTACAGTCTGTATTTGAACACTGCAGCTGTCTTGCAACTAATCAGCTGCACAGTAGAAAATCTGCTTCCCGTTTACACCGGCTTGCTCATGCTCAGTGTTCGTGAATGGTCATGTATATATGTGTTTTCAGGTAATATGCCACTTTAAACGAAAACATAGTAGTGTGGACGTAGCCTGAGACTCAGCCTGCCAATTAGATTTTCTCAGTTGTTTCAAGCTGTCTCTCCTTCAGCAGATGCATTTACAGTATTATTTAGAGCTTATTGAAAACACATTGTGTTTATGAAAATATGATCAGAAATACGAGCTGTTTTAAACCTTCACAGAGTTTTGTTATATCAGTCCCATCAGCAGACAGAACACTGACGCATGACATCACACCTAACACTGGATGCTGGTGTCTTGGTTATTATGTGCTGTTCAGTTACATTTAGGAGGAGATCATGGTCATGGTAAACGGTTAAAGTACAGTCGGGCTTCTTTTCAGTAGAGCGCATGCTACTTCCCGCAGAGTCGTCCAGTACGGACTGAATTGCTTTGATTCCGGGCTTCTTTGAAACTGGGAACTGTTTTTTGAAAACATTAACAACATTCATTCCTAAAAGCATATTATTAAAATGAACTCTAAGCCCATTTAAATCCTTAAAGCCCAGTTTTAGTCCAGTCACAGCTTGGTCCTTGCGCCTTGTAAATAAATCAGGAGCACATAAAATATCCTCTTTTTTTGCTCTAAATCTGTAGCTGTTGCCCCTACGAAAATAAGAAATCCAGTATATCAGCGTACATGCATGGTGGCCTTGTCTGTCTGGTCCAGGCCTCGGAGCGTCTCTCAGATCTGAGAGGAACAGGCAGATTATCCACATCATTAATTCTCCAATTTGCTGGCTGAAATAGCAGACTGCGCCTCAGCCCGCTGCCCCCTCATAATGGAAACCTGCTCGCTACCTCTCGCTGACCAGCGGCCTGGTTAATTAAAACTCTTCTGGAAACCAGGTGTCAACTCACTGATATACCTATTAAACCCACCTCTGCTCTGCACACCCAGTAAGTCTCCCCTCCAGCTGGTTCCTGAGGTTTTTTCACCTCAGTTGTTTAAGTTCAGAGTCACAGAGGGAAGAAGGAACAAACCACACTGAACCAGACTTTTGAGAAAGTGACGTACAGCACGGTGTTATGGCCCTGCAACACAAGAAGTCGGTGTAGACCACTGTTCTATGATACGATGGTGATGCAGTCAAAAGTAATTACATGCTCATTGTAGGATTGATCAATACTCGCGTTACACTCATGATCTGTAAATGTTATGAGTGTTTCATACAGGATCAGTTTCCACACTGAGCCACAGCAGGGTGGGTGTGAGGCTGTGTACAAGCTTGATGTGCAAGCTCCTGATCCCTGACACTCGTGTGCATGAGCTACAGTACAACACACGCACACACACACACACACACACACACACACACACACACACACACACACACACACACACACACACACAGCTCGTTCAAGTTCAGGTTACATGCAAACGCAGTTGGAAGTTCTACTACTAACTCTACTACTGTACATGATAATACAATATAAAACAAAATGGATAAGAACAACCTGGTCAACAGGAATATCCCAAGTTTTTTTCAAGCTTGTAAACACAGTCATAACCTCTCATGTAAACACCCCAGATCCATGGTAATGGCTTAAATTGAGGAAGACTTATCTGTGTGAACATGTAGGACACTGAATACATTTTTCAAATATTAAAA